CTCTTATCCCCAAGGGGTTGCTGCTGCTGCATCAATGCATGCTCGCGGCTTCCAAGCGTGTCCTGCGAGATGATAACCCATCCGGTGTGCCTCAATCTGTCCGCCAACTGTAGTCTTGCCGGAACCCTGGGATGCCACAGAAGACCAAAGAGCATGATCTTTCTACAGGCTGGGGCCACCCTGGACCCTCTGCTGATGCCCCTCCCATCTGCGTGTTGAGGTCTTGCTTCAGCGCCTCTTTCAGCAGGGAGGGAGGGACGGAGGGACGGAGGGACGGAGGGAGGGAGGGAGGGAGGGAGGAGCATTGGAGAATTGTTTTTCTCCTCCGTTGACGGTTTGCAACAGGGGCATGTTTGTCACACACACAACACCAGGGAGCTCTAAGGCTAAATGGCTCAAAGTAGATCTAAACGACAAGGAGGCAGAGGCGAGATCAGCAGTCCCGAAGAAGGCGGCGCTCAAACAGCATGCGCTGGAGACGCTGGTTGCGTCGAAGAGTTTGACCGGTGAGACTCATAAATGAAAGATTCAGACAATCATCATGAATTCTTCTGAGTGATCTGACCACCACCTTGACTACAACGATCGGGATTTCACGCTCTTACCATCTATTCAGGGAGCAAACCTGCGCTGGAATGGTTCCGAGTCGTGATTCCTAACAACGTTCAGAACGGAATTTTCCAGACGATGGTACAAGGACATGGTCCCATTCTTGTAAAGGTTGAGATTTTTTGAACAATCCAGCAGTTCAATCCTGACCTTGACCGCAGGTCCCTCATGGAATGGTTCCGGGGCAAACGGTCTTTGACGATTGCTCTTTGACTGATTTATTTTCAACTGATTCGACACTGCAACAGGTGGTCATGAAGTTGCCGGTACGTGCAGTTTCTGCCCCGAGCAGATCAGCCAAGATGTCTGTCAAAAGTCCAGCAAAGGCAGAGGAGCTCCAGAGCAATTCTTCTTCCCAGCAGGACGAGATTGACTGGGTATGTTGGGGGGGAAAGATGCTGCAACTTCACAACCGTAATTGTTTGTCGTAGAACCAGAAAGGGCCGGAGAAAAAAGGTTTCTTCGATGCCTTTGAAGCTCCTCGGCCAACGCCTGAGTCCTCTCATCCTGCTGCAGAGGCTGATGCCGGTACCCTGACGTGCTCTTGTTCCGACGTCGTCATGACGGTTGAAGCAGCAGGTCAAAAGAAGGTTGACTATGCCTGGCCCAAACCAGGTAGATGTGCTAGGGAACGAGCAAGCTAGAGTCTGATGTGCCTGCCGATCAAGGTTACTTGTTCCCTGGTATGGACAAAGATTCCTCCAAGAAGAAGATCGTCTGGCCGGGACAGGAGCCGTCCAAAGAGGTAGGTAAGGCAGTGACCGTGCCTTCATGCTAACTTGCGTGCAACAGGTGGAGTGGCCGGATCATATCGGAGAGCCTCCTGCTCCTCTGCTCGAGACGGTACCCCTGCTGCTTGCTCATGACGCTGTTCCGATCATTCTTGCACAGCCGTCGAAGAAGCTTCAGCCGGACTGGTTCAAGCCGTTTGCCAGCCCGGCACAAGGCAGTCGAGAGAGCCCCACAAACAAGAAGGAGGAATTTAGCTTCGGTGATTTGACCAGTTCGTCCTCGTCCTCGTCCTCCTCGTCCTCCTTCTTGTCCTCGTCCTCGTCCTCGTCCTCATCTTCATCCTTCGCTTCCTCCTCCTCCTCCTCCTCCTCCTCCTCCTCACCTTGACCCTCCTAGCTTTCTCCAACCCTCTCGCGTCGGAGCCGGGGCCAGCAGAGCAGCAGCATGAGGCCAGAGGGGAAAGTCGACCCGCTGGGAGATCAGAGGGGGCAGCAGGGGCCGAGAGCAACGGGTAGAGTTGTGCTGTGTTGGACTTGGCCAACTCTGATACCTGAACCTTCAGTTTGCTGATCCCAGTCGTTATCAACTGGTCGATGATAACGGCAGGGACTGCAATGGTTGTCCTGCTGTGTGTAGGGTGCATGGTCCTCAACTCCTGCAGGAATTCGAGATACAACAGGTTTGACTAGTTTGACTCGCATGACTTGTCGTTCGCAAAGATCATGGTGTTCCTGCGGCTCTGAACTTTGTTCTCCCTCCTCCCTCCTCCCTCCTCCCCTTCCTCCCTCCTCCCTCCTCCCTCCTCCCTCCTCCCTCCTC